AGCAGTGGTAGCAGTAGCAGTAGTAACCATAGCAGCAGCAATCGTCGTAATTGCAACGATCAACCCTGTATCGTTCTTTGAGAGAGTCGAACGACCGGAAACAGATGAGAAAACCAGACCAAAGCCTCGAGAGTTCAAGCGCATAAGCGCTTTGTAGTAGCCCGCCCAAGCAACAAGCACACAATCCCAAACTAGGGACCATTCAGTAACATTGGTCCCTACAACCTCATTAGACCTGACTTCCCGATGAAGCCTAGAAGGACTGATGGTAAGCAACGGCTTGGCTTGGATAGGATGCGGGCACAAAAGTCATCGGCCCTAAATTCTAGAGCCTAAGACTGACTCCCAAACAACAAAAACAACAGCCAGCATCACCAAAATGTGCCTTCGGCTGGGAGGAAGAGCTCTATAGCGATTGCTATAAAGGGTACCATTAAGACTCCTAATCCTAAACCCAAACCCCATGAAACCTAAACCCTAGTGAAAGGCTCCTATATTTTAAGGCTCCAAGAATGCCTTGCCTTGGCTGCAGCCAGCTGCTGCTTCAGCTCGCTGATCCTAGGAGTTTGAGGCTTCGGGCTTTTTAGGGTTTAGGGTTTAGTGTTTAGGCACTCCGCCAACGGGACCTTAGGCCACAAAGCAGGAGTTTGGTCTTCAAGATCGGAGGGTTTTCGGGCTTGGGATTCCGGGACTGAGAAATGCAAGATGCAAGGCTGCTTAAGGATTTCAGGTTTAGGGATGTGGGGTCGGGGACTTGTGGATGTCGGGAGGACGTTGAATCGTGAATGTGCCGGTCAAGGGCGAGGGGCGCAAGAGGGAGATATGTGTCCAGCGTCTTGGGGTGGATGGGATGGTGGGTTCGGGGATTCAAGCCCTCGTTATTTGGAGTGTGAATTTCTAAAGCCACGAAGACACGATGACCGTCCCAAAACAAGAACCCGCATGGGGCACACCCATGCCCTGCCAACATGCAGCAACGATTTACAAACAAACCCGCATAATCTAGGGGTCTTCAATATTTAGAATCGGGTTTTGGGGCCCCTTATACTGTAGTTATAATAAGGAGCCCCACAATAGTGTTGGTAATTATTTAGGCCCTTACATTAACCTCGAGATCGGCTTTAGGTTCAACGTAGAGGGGGCCAAACAATTCGAACAGGGTTTTGGAAACCCTTACAGTATACCATACTTGCACATAAGGACTGACTATGACGGGATGCTGGATGCTATTTCTCCCCATATTCGGGGTTGAGGTTTTAGAGTTTGAGGGTTTGGGGTTTCGGGATCTCTGCTGCAGCCGTGAAGCTCCGCTTTCTGTGCTTCAATGACTTCGTCCTTTTCCTCAGCCCCAAGACCCTATGGGCAGTTCTCTAAAGTAGGGTCCCTTTTTGGGCCCCCACTATAGTACCGGCACCCTGTTAAAAGGACCCTAAAAGGGACCCTAGTTTGGAGAACCACGGGAGTACGTGGGGCATTGTGAAGTATCGGGCGTAGGCCTTCGGCTCCCGGGAGGGATGCCTCTTGTTGTTTAGTGAGGTGGGGGCGCTGGGACCATTAAAAGTGACAGCAACAACAATACTGTGACAATACTGGTTCCCTTTTGGTGCTTTATTAAACATGATTAGATTTAATCCTAATTGGGTTTTATCAAAACAAAAAGTCTACAATTGTACCCAACAAGGACTCAGAAGACTAATAACCAATGTTCATGGCGGTCAAACGGACCCCAGCAGCTTCGCCGGCTCAGCGGGCAGCTTTGTCTTCACAAGGCAACAAGAAAACCCGATAAACTCCGCCTTAAAGCGCAAGCTGAGGAAGAAGTGCATGGCTTTCGGCACACCTTCCACTCGAATCTTTAGCTTAAAGTCTGAAGGAAGGACCGGAAACAATTAACCATCTCAATAAAACATCGAACTACATCACGACAGTTCACTTCTACATGGGTTATGAAAGCGTACTCGCCTGCAGCTCGTATTGCCACAAGGCTGAAGCTCGATGGCCTGGAACCAAAACCTTAGATTCGGAACCTGCACCCGGAATCCTTGCATTAAAGCGCAGCAAACTCGAAGCGCGTTAAGCTAAACCTGGAATGCGAAGAAACGAACCCTACCCTACCCCCAAATTCTCAACCCAACAGGCACTTTTGAGCCTTTGGTAGCATGGAAAACGTTGCAGCTACACAGCAACAACGGCTTCAGCATTGCAGGCTTGTGGATCATCACAGCCGTCCTCGGCAAAAACAACTTGCCCATTGAAGTCAAAACAGCAGACTTGGATTGTGGTCGACCCCACGTCGTGCAGATGTTCCACCATATCATCGACAGGGTAGCTGCTGTTCGCCCGCAGCAGGGTCATGTGGAAGAGGCTCTTTCGGGGGTGATTCACCTTGACCCCAGCATCCGAAAATGCTTTGTTCACCATACCTGAACTCTTCTTGGAAGCCCGTTTTGGAAACACATTCCTGTTTCTCCATAAGAATAGACTATGCTGAAAGGACAAACAGTGTTCAAGAATAGCTCAGGTACCCACGAAGTTGAACAACTTCACCTGGCTTGCACTGTCCGGCAGGATGTGCAAGTAGATCAGATCACCCAGTCTTCTCTGGTGCATGTCCAGGTTGCAACCGAAGCCTGGATATGCGGTGAGGGTGCTAAATCTTCCATTGTAGTTCGTATAAGGCTAATCTACAACACCCTACTCTTGTTATCAAGGCCCGGTAAGCCCTACACCCTAAACCCTCAAAGCTCCAAGAAGCATGAATCATACCCTTGTGGTCGTGATGTTGGATTTAGATGTGGTGTCAAATGTAAAATTGCCCCAACTCCCTATTCTAAGCTCTAAACCCCTAAACCCTACGCCCTAAACCGTAAGCCCCATATCCTCAAGGCCAAAGCAGCCTGAATAAGTAATGTAGAAGCTCCTCCAGGAGAGCCTCTCTAAGGCGCTTTGCATCCGCGTCAGCTCCGCGGAAGCGTGGCAGCAGGCGTAGATGAGGGAGGTGTGGAGCTGGTCCAAGGGCTCTACCTGGCTTTAGGGCCTTGCTTGGAGGATCATGGGACTTAGTAAGTAAGGTTTAGGGTTTCAGGGTTTTAGGGTTTAGGGTTTTAGGGTTTAGGGTTTAGGGTTTAGGGTTTAGGGTTTGCTTGGAGGATCATGGGACTTAGTAAGTAAGGCTATAAGTACCCTAATTGGGGTTATAGTTATAGTTACCTTACTTATAACCCTAGTTACTAAATCCCATGATCCTCCAAGTGAGGTTTAGGGCCTTTAAGGTCTAGGGCCTCCGGGCCTTTAGGGTTTAGGGTAGGGTTTGGCATGTTTTAAGGGCTTCGGGTTTAGAAGTCTAGGGTTTGGGGTTTAGAGCTTAGGGTTTAGGGTTTAGGCTTTGCCTTGGAGTAGCGCGTGGGCGACAGTATCGTGCGACAAGGTCGTGTCGAGTGCATCCTACTCTAGGGTGCGAGCAGTTCAAGCCTGTCTGTGGGAGGCTCTTCTTTCTTTCTCCCCCACCCCACGCCATATCAGGCCGCCGGCTAAACTCATTCTGCAACGCTTTCCTTCGACCAGGCGGGCCCCTGCGAGGCCCCCACAATCCCCTCAGACTTTCAGAAACTCATAATGGCTCTGCAAGCACCCTAAGGCCCTAAGTTAATGACCGACATACCCGAAAGATCCCGAAAGAAGCCACTATGAGTTTTGAACCTCGTATGAAACTCTTTAAAGCCTATCGAAATATAAAACCTCCTATAAATGCCGTATAAGCCCCCTTTCACTCCTTAACCAAGAGCCCAGCCTCAAGAATCCCCAGCTCCTGCGATGCCAGGACCTCCTCCACCGCCTTCGCCTGCGCCCGCACGCGCGGGACCCGCGCGAGCTCCAGGCGACCGGTCGGTGAAAATGGGGCGCCTGGCTCTTCATGAGTCAGGAGCTATATATGGCGCTTTACCATGTATCTGTTGTGTATGGGGTTCATGAGGTTTCAGCACCGCAGCAGTTTAAGCTACCACTGCAGGGTAACTAAGTGGCGAATGACATACTTTCCTTGCGGTAACCTGTGGTAGGCTCCTAAACAAAGGCCCGGTCACTTTGGGGGCAGACGGGGCAGTCGCCATCTCTCCGCTCGCAGGAGTCGAACGTCCCAGAAGCCGTGGTCCAGAGGCCCAAAATCGCCAGGGCGACCGGCGCCGATCGCGCCATGAGTTCAAGCAAGGAACCGCGTAGAGCCGTATATGGTTTCAGGGCTTTGGGGCTTCCGGGTTCGCGTAAAGCCGTATAGGGGTTTCAGGGTTTAGGGCTTTCGGGGTTCTGGGGTTTCGGGGTGTGAGGGGTTATCGGTATTTTGAGGGCTGGGGATTTCGGCTCTTCGGATTTTTTACATTTTAGGGAATCTGAACTGTGGATACAGCTCATGGGATCCTGCTTGCTGATGCGAGGGCACCGGAACGGTGACACATGCCAAGGACCGAAGGAAGCCACGAAGCACCCCCAATGTAGACCATTGTAGAACGCCACAAACCCATCTACCCCTGCCTGACACAAAAGCACGACAGCAACGAAGTTCAAAAGAAGGAAACCCGAACGTGGTGCCAGGTGGCCGCCAGCTGAAGTGCAGCTCCCGTATTGCCCACTCCGGGCATCAAGCTTCCTGGCTGTTTTGGGCTTTTAGGGCTAGGGGTTCTTCAGAGGGAGTCTGCAACACGCATGAGATCCTATAAAAGTTTCTACACTGGGCTCGGGATTGGGATTTGGGGCTCGGCTTCCTGGGTCATTGTCTTGGTCCTTCAAGTTGCTACGAAGGGTTTACGTTTAAGTTTCAGGGTTCAGGGTCGGGCTTCCGGCTTCCTGGAGCTGATCTAAATTGTTTCTTTAAGCGCTCTGGGGTTGTGAGACAGAGCGAGAGAGAGAGAGAGAGAGAGAGAGAGAGAGACAGTTAGTAAGAAAGTACGTACGTAAGTAAATAAGCAAGTACCCACATACGTTCGTAGCTCATACATGCATGCACAGTTTGCGGGTATTGTGAAATTTCTGCTCAGGGGCCTGTGTACAGCTGTAGCGTTTTCTTCATTGGAAGCTCTGTTTGCGGTAGACGCAAATTCCTAACCCAAAAACAGTGATCTAAATATGGAGCACTCAGTTCGATGTTAGCCTGTGCTTCGCTTAGGGATCACTGATAGAATCAAAGCTGCTCGTAAAACACGTAGCCACCTAAAACAAGCCCCATCGAGCGAAAAAAACAACTTACCCAAAGCATGGACCCCTGCAACCCGAAACCCTCCACCCTACATGAACTCTGTACTCTGGGGGACTCTGGGGGACTCCGAGGGCCATGATGATTTCATGAGGGCTCGGGGCATATAACCGTATACTTATATTGGAACTGTAAGACTTGCTCCGACTCCTCTGTTATGCTCCCTAAACCCGAAGCCCTAAACGCCTAAAACCCTAAACCATCCTAAACCCCCCTAAACCCTGAAACGCCACAACTCAAAACCCACCCTTAAAAACCCTGAGCCCCTAAACCACTAAACACCCGAAGGGAAGCTTTCTTTCAGAAAGAAACATGTGGACCTCCAAAGATCGACGCGTGGATGCCGCTGAAGCGACGCTGCATGGTCGAGCGTTGCCTAAGATGGGTGCCGCAATGATTGGAATAGGGTTCCGCTTAAAGGGTTCTTGTAAGGGTGTCTTCAACAGGTTTCAAAAAAAGGGTGCTACATATACTTTTCGGGTGTAAGGCAGCAGCCATAGTAAATCTAATAGGGCCCTGTAGGGTTCCTTTAAAAGGCTCTATGTAGGTTGCTATACGGGCTACTATGACCGTTTAATGTAGGGGCCATGGCAAGTAGAGTGGGGCTTTGGGAGGATATTATAGCATGGTCATACTCGGAACTGGGGATACAGTTACATAATTTCGCATACCCCTACAGTAGTCTTCGATGCAGAGAAGCTTCGGGCATGGAAACTACAGTTTCGGGTTTCGGGGTGGCAAGCGACAGACTGCAGCACTTCACCTTGGCCCTTGAGTCATGTCTTGCTTTCACCAGGCTCCTCGATCCCATCTTCAGGGCTCTGCTTCCCTGGCTTCAGCCTTTCTACGAACCTAGCCCGTAAAACTCCACCCAGGGCGCATGCAGCCCGAAACCACAACAGCAATAGCTAGACAAAGAGTGAGCCAGCCCAAGCCAAATCCTTAACCTCAATCTCCACCTTCAACCTTACACCGAGAAACTCTCAAAGTCAACCCTCCACCCTGGAAACACCACCCTACAAACTCAGCTATCCTTCAACCGTGAGCCCCAAAATAACCGCAGCACCAGTGTAGGATCTGAGAAATATGCCCGTTATGCATACTAGGGCCTGTACAGAAGGGAGGGTCCCTAGTCAGCGGTCTACAGTGTTTCTGCGCTGACATCAGGTACGCGTGCAAGCTATCATGAGGTCTTGAAGCTGGACTGCTACAGGATTTGTAGGGCCCGTGCAACATCGGCCCTAACACAAAATCCAGGCAAAGGGATTCTTGAACCCTGAAACGAGCCCCACAAAAATCCTAAAACCTTCTATAACCCTGAACAAGAAAATCTGTAGAAATCCCAAACCCTAAGCCCTAAACCCGAGTAAAGAGGATGAGACTGAGGTCTGCACTCGACCTGCCACTCATTCCGGGCCTCCGCATAGTCCACCTGCACAGGTTCTGCCCAGAGAGGCCAATACTCCCTAATTAGGGAATATTATTCAAATTTGGGGGGGGGGGGGGGGGNNGGGGGTAATATTGAGGAATATACCTGAAACCATTGGGGGGCTAAATTATGATTGGAGGCAATTTAGGATTTTCGGGTTGACGGCTTAGAGGAGGGGGGTGTGAGGTTCACGGGATCAGGCTTCAGGGTTTAGCACATTGGAACTTAAGATTATGGCGATGTGGGCGTAGTGCTGCTTGGAAATGACGTGTGCTTCGGATGACACGTATGGACACTTGACAGGCCTTGCTTGTTCAGCCATATTGCCTGTATTCACGACACACCTCAGTAAGATTTCTCATGGTGGGTGTAGAGAGAGGATGCACAGTTGATTGCGGAGGGGCTTGGAGTTGTCCGGTATGCCACCACCAAGAACACTCCCGAGACAGATAGCATAAAACAAAGACCGCCACCATCTAACGACATCATCACCACCATGATCGGCAATACCGCATCTCATCAGGCTCTTCGCGATCATCGCCATCTGTTGGTTCGCTGATATGCATAACGTCGACACCCAACAAAGAACAGCAACACTGCTCAACAGGGCAATTAGTCGACATCCGTCAATGCCAAGCCGAACCACAACAACCCGTTTGCGACCATGCCCACGAACTCTAGAACCCTCAAACCCCAACACCCTGAACCCCAAACCGTATAGAAGCCTCGTATTACCTTGCTTTGGGATTCGGTACGCCGGATAACAAATCGATGAGAACCCTACAAGAATCAGTACCCTCGGAAATTCTGAAACCAATTTAAAACACTGTAAACCCTGCCGTAAAGCGCTTACAAACAAGACTCCCAAGAGCTCGGGGGGGACCTGTGGAATCCGAAATGGTGAAGCCTCGAAATCCGCATGTAGGGTTCCGCGAGAGAACCCGTTAAGACTTAGGGTTCAGGCTTTGCGGTTGTGGCTTAGTATGTACGCAAATCACATCTGGTGGAAATGCGATCATTGCCAATCTCTGAAATCTAAACACCAAAAACCAAAATGGAGCGAAGTGCCTTTCCACTGGCAATGTATAAATCCGGTGACATCTCGCTGGGTATCACAAAGACGAAGTAGTGCCTGATCCCACATGCGTCGGTCGAGGCTGGATACAAGAGTGTTAATAATCAGAATGGTGTTTCGGAGTGTGTTATAGGAGCTGTGTGGGGTCTATACAGGGATGTGCTGATCGACCCGACATGCCTAAAGTTGAAACCCTCTGCTTGGGATTTGGTGACTTCGATTCGGGGCTCAGCTTAACTGCCGAAGCCCATGAAATCCTTGCCGAACCTTTGTAGAACCCCTGAAAGACAATACCTCTCAATGAACGAATATACCTGAAATTATGGGAAAAGAATATCCTGATTTCAAGGTATCATCCTTAAATAAGGGATTTTGGGCTCGCTGGGCCTGGCAAATCTGTTCTAGGAAACTTCTACAGCCATCTCAGAACCCTTTCTGAACCTTTACTGTGCAACCCTTATAAAGCTCCTCTGCAACCCCTCCAGAGCACCTACGAACACCTCGAAAACAAAAACGAAAAACAGGCCTGCCGAAGATGATGCGGTCGCCGTGCTGGAGCTCGTAGCCCGAGACCTCCCGAAAACAAAACTTCCGGTTTGGGGTTTGTGGTTGAGGCTTTATGGTGTGGGGTCTAGGGTTTAGGGTTTAGGGTTTAGGGGATTTAAGGCCGCGGGATTTTGAAGGGTTTTATTCGGGAGCTCTCTTTTTGAGAGGGGAATTTGTAAGGATGTGTAGGTTTTCGTTTGATTTCCCGGGTGTTGCAGGAGCTCACTTGGCAAGGGTCTTTAGGTATAGGGGTTAATGCAGATCAAGAGGAGCTAGCCGAGAAAAGCTGAACACGAGATCCGCCTAAAGGCCCCTGACATCCAAACACCTGGAAACCCAAGATCCGACTTCCCCAAAACAAGGACCTTGATAATCAGAAGAGGATCCCCTTGAAGGGTTCCTTTAAAGGGTTCTACAAGGGTTTAGTATAGGGGCCATCAAAAATCAGAAGAGGGTTTTCGTGTAAACTATAGTGTATTATTTTGACTATGGTGGTAAGGACGATATGGCCATACTGTTTCTGATTATTCCGACATCCGTATTGAGGTGATTGGGGTTTGAAGGTTTGGGGTGGCTGGTCCGCCTCGGGCTTCTCGCTCTGCCTGCAGATCCTTGGCACTTGGTGAATGGGCTCAAGGATTTCGTCACAGGGGCTCAAAAAGGGCTTACAGGGATTTATCAAGATTTATAGGGGTTTATGTGGCTTCATGAACTTGCTTATCGTGTTGATAGCGCTTTATCGTGGCTTTTTCGGATTTCAGGTTCGGAGCTTTGATTTTCAAGCTCCACGGCGAAACGAAGGGAGGAGTGAGAGTGTAATATATAAGTTTGAACAAGCAGAAAGACTACACCTGAGTGTTCCATATTATCACCCCAGAGCCGTAGTCCAATGATTAAAGCACGCATATTGCGACTGGTGCTTTATTTGGGCTTGCAACCCTTTGGTTCTTCTTCTATACCTCATGCCCCTTGACCCACACTCCTGAACCACTGAACCTAAACCCAGACTCCCTTGACCTGAAACCCCTAAGACCCTCCAACCTTCGATGCCAAACCACTATGCCCCATACGTCTTGGAGACTTTACGGCTCCGATGTGCTCAGGTTGCGTCCCCTCATAAGACCCTTAAAGATCAGCTAGTTTGGGACAGTTCGACGATTTGGGGTCTGTAAGTATGCTTTAGCGGGGTCACTCAACTATTTCTTGGTAAGAGTCCGAGACCCTAAACCTCAAACCCTAAACCCAAAACCCTAAACCTTATAAACCCTAAACCATATAATCCCTAAAACCCTAAACCCTAATTCCTCTAAACCCTAAACCCTCAATCTCCTTAAACCCAAAGTCCTCAACCCCGAAGCCTGGTTCGGGTCTATCTTTGGGGTCTGGACGGTTGGGATTCGAGATGGATCGGAGAACTGCTCCTGCTGCCGTAGACCCTAAGTTCGCAACCAAAAAAACAGCCTCCACAGCCTCAAACATGTAGCTCTCAGTTCGTCCTTCCCGCTCCTGACGCATGTGCCTGGTGAGATGCCCTTATATCCAGGAAGCTCATAGCCCAGATCGGCTCAGCGCAGCAAGCAGAAGCAGATGCTGGGTGTGCCATGGTAACTTCCGTGTTTTTCTCTGCCACTATCATCATCGGTATGATTTCGACTGACAGAATACTGTTCTTGCCTTCGACAATCCCGGAGTCCACCAGAAACCCCGATTCATTTCAATCCTGCAGGTTTATGGCCACGAAACAAGAGTGTCTTGCTATCAGAAACAACTAAGTGCATGTACGACTAATGATACCCCGACACTAAGCCCTTAAAGCAACGGCATTTACAGTGACCAGTTGAAAGGAACCCAGAGGATGGATTCGCCTCGAACGCCCTGCTCTGCACGATGACTTCCTTCCACGGTTTCGTCACATGCCTGGGGCAGCTCGTGGTCCTGCTTGAGCCGCGCAACCTCGAGCTGCACCTTGCGCAGCTTGGATTCAGCTTCTGTGCCCAGTCCTCGTTGGCGCAAACGCCCAGCCTGCGCTCGCAAAGCACCGATCGTCCTCGCCCGCTCTTGGCCTGCAGCGTCCAACGCCTTCCCAAACTGTTGGTTCCCGGTGAGGCCCTCAAGCTCAGCGCTGACCGCAGCCGCATTCTCCGGCGTCAGGCTCAAAGCGAGCTGCGCCTGCTTCGCTTTGCGATGTAATCCGGAGTCCAAGAGATGTTGAAGTATCTGCTTGCAGTTGGACAAGCCGCAAACCCACAGTTGATATGCGTGTCCTTTCGACTTTCCAAGCGTTGCATCTATGCTTGATGTAGTGGCCAAGAAATCACGAAGACTCCGCAGCACTCGAGGATGTTTTTGCACCACTTTCAATACCAGCGAGGCTCCTCCAAGTTCCTGCTTGATATACCCGTCTGCATCGAAGAAGCCGGTAAAGTAGCTCCAGCTGCACGGCCCAGCAACCGCTGAATCGTTTTTCTTAAGAGCTTGCAGCGTGGCTTTGCACTCCTCTCTGCAGCGTTTTGAATCGGGCCATCGGGCCGCCAACAAGAGCTGCTTTTGCTTGGTGATGCTGTGCGCTGCCAGGAGCATGGCTGCTCTTCGCGCAGACTGGCCGCATGCACACCACTGAAGTTGCGGTTTTCTCAAACCTAGCCCGCCGCATTCGCGTATGATGCTCCCACCCAATGTCTCGCGGAAGAGCATGAGAACCTCCGCCTGATCGAAAGACTGGCTCACCCTCAACCTGCATCCGGACAGATTCGTCACACAACTAACGCAGCCATCCCCGTCGAAGAAGCCGGCCAAGTACTCCAGCCTGGCATTCGCCGGCCGATGCGACAGCTCTCTGCTCTCGACTCGCAGGGGCAAGCTGTAGGTGCGTCCGTTTGCCGTAAAGTACTTCAGCTCGGGCCATGGAATACTCCCAAGATCCTTTCGGAGGTCTTTGTTCTTTCTTTGCATTTCCTGCAGTGTGCCGCCCGAATTTGCAGATAAGGTGCGGTGTATCCCCGCCGCGGCTGTTGTAAGACCGTCTAGGCTGATGCCGGGGCAAACGCAACACACCAGCATCAGACCCATAACCACGTCGTTCCATCGGACACTCAGCCTCCTCCTCTTCCTTCTCACATACTCCACTTCTCGCATCACTGTGGCTGGTGGTTGAACAATTTTTGTCTCGGGCAGTAGCGGGGACAGCTTGAGCCCAAATCCACCGGACCGCCGTACCAAAGGCAAAGACTCCAGAAGGGAATTTCTTCGAACTTCTATGCACTCTATGTTCTAAACCTGAACGCCCCCGCACCGTCCAACAAACCTGCAGAAACCTCAAACCTCTGTGTACGGCATCGGTTTATGTACTACAGACGAAGGAGATAATGTATCCCGCTGCACTCATCTCGACCCTGAGCTAACCTAAAAACCAGCCAGAGGGTTGGTGGCTACGGAGAAAGTCCACGGTTACGCTTCCATCCAAAGCCAAGAGAGCACCAAACACTCGGCCCTGTTCCGAGGCTTTGATCCCGCAGAACATCCTAAACCCTAAGCCCACACCCCCAAGGATTCCCAAGGATCCTACAACCCAAGCCAAAAGCCCCTGAAGCCGAGCATCTGAGCCTCCTCCTCCACACCTGACGGGTAGGGTTTAGGATTTACGCAGGGTCTAGGGTGTGAGGGGCACGGAGGTGATTTGGCTTGGGGCTTTGGGTTTCGAGGATGTTGAAAATCGAAAATGCCGGACAAAAGTTATGTTTGGAGCTTGAAGTACTGAAACTTCGAGCTTAAACTGCCGTAGATGCACAACTGGTGTTCTATGTGGGCTTACGGGGTTTTGCGAGCCTTTTTACAGGGGCTTTCGTGTGGTTCTGAGAAGCCTGGAATGACCCTACAATACTCAAAACCCAAAGATCTAAGAAAGGGTAAATATGACTTTAAACAGAGCTCTGCCTCGTGCAACTGCCTTAAACTCATGAACCTTATAAGCCCTTCCCCTACACCTTGACGCTGAACCCAAAAACCTCCAAACCCCAAACCTCACGAAAACTGTGTGGAACCCTTCTAGGGACCCTTATGGGAACGCTTGCAGCAATCAGAATCCTCAGCTCTCAGCCCTAGACTCTAAGCCCTGAGACTCTCCAGAAGTCCGAATCCGGGAAGCCGACGAGATCAGGCAAAGCCCGAATTAAATCACATTGAACGCAAAAAGAATATGCATAGGAAAACAGATTGTAAACATTGGAATAAGGAAAGATAGATATGATGATAATACTGGCCATAATAATAACAAACCAATAGTAATGACAATTACATTTAAAAACTGCAGTAGGAGCAAATAACAATGATAGCCACAGCGACTATGACAACCACCAGAAAACCGAAGAAGTAAATTCAGCGAGGTAGGGAAATCCGTCCCGGCCGCGCCTAGATCGCTGAGTACATCTTGGAGGCTCCTGCCGCCGGCGGGGAAGGAGGATTTGCAAAAAAAACACACCCAGGCTTTAGGTTTCAAGGTTGTTTCGGTCTTGGGGGCTTCGAGGTTGTAGGGTTCAGGTGTTGCTATTTTTGTGTTTTGGGGGGGCTTTCGGGGCTCGGAATTTGTGGCTCTGCTGTTGGGCTTCGGGGGTCGAGAGGTCTGGGCAAAAACTACGACTTCCCATGTGCCTGCTACCATTCACGCTGCGAAATATCCTGCTGTCTTGAACATCTCCTACTGCATTCAGATGATCAACAGTACCAAAAGCACTGGTAATTTCGACGATAGTATGAACAATGCGAACGTTCCGAAGATTACGCGTGTGATAGTATTGACAATTGCCTATTTCTCCAATAACTTTGCGTCGTTCTAGCTCTCATCATACTAGTACAGAGCCGCACGAGCAGTACAAACCTCGCAACATTTTCAGTGTTCTGGGAACTACCAGCAAAACCTGTACTACCGCTTGCTGCTCTTTTGCACTCACTACATGTACCCGCGCTCTGCATTGTGATGAATATCACGTATGCGCGGGTCTGTCTGCTATTCGTACTAAAGAGACAGAAAACTTTCTAGCATCGCGAATATCCTTCTGGTTCTGACGAGCCGTCTTCGCCATTGCCAGCTCGCAACTGTTTCACCATCAATATGTGATGCAAAGAACCCAGAGACTCCAATACCCCTTAATTAAGGAATTTGCCTTAAATCTTACTAGGGATCCTACTATAATTTAAGGTATATTCCTTAATTAAGGGGTATTGGAGTCTCTGGGAACAGGAGGGCGAACTGCGTCCTGCCATTGACGAAGGTGTCCGTGGCACCACGCTCGCAGGAGGGGAACAGGATGCACTTGTCCTCTTCCTGGATCCCATCCTAAACCCTAAACCCTAAACCTTGAACCGTTAAACCCCAAACCCTAAACCTTGAACCGCGAAACCGTAAACCCTAAACCTTGAACCGTTTAGAGGATGGGTTTAGGATTCGGGTTTAGGGTTTGGGGTTGAGCGAGTTTACGGCTGCCGGCCATAGCGGGCGAGAACTCAGGAGACCAAAGCCGCCCCAGGAACTCTCAACTCCTAAACAAAGCATTCTTTTGTGACTTTCGGGTTTAAGGCGTTCAGCGGTTTGAGGATTGAGGCGGAGACCTTGCATGTAAAGCCCAGTGGCAGTAAAGACAACGGCGTGGTTCCTGGCAACGCCTTCACCCAGCTCGATGTTAGGCGGCGACTCCTTTCAGGGACAGGACTCATCACACCCGGCAGTTTGTTCTGACTGGGGCAAACTTAAGGAGCCCAGGACCCCTGACGACGAACAGGGCTCAAACTGAATGCGGCCTACTTTTGTGACCTATGTAACTGATACTCCTGAACAAAAATGCATTAGGTTCTGAAGGCCTCCCTGCTAATCAACATGCACCATCCACGCTTCTAAGTTGGTTCGGCTTACGATCAATTGTTATTTACATGTAGTATACTGGTTCAGGGCTTACTCTGTCTTCCAAGAGCTATACCTTTGTCCTGGACCATTATCGATGATAGCGAACGCAAGACCACAAATACTACACATCCCAAAGACTTCAAACACCCGAGGGTCAACGCTTCAAGACTTACTCTGTTCGCAGATCCGAAAAACCGGCTTCAGGGATCAGGGGAATTAGCAAATTGGGTTCTATTATAAGTACCTGCATCGGACAGGGTCAAAAGATCAGGGGACTCAGTGAGTAGGGCTACAATCAAGTACCCTCATTGCGCTTAGAAGTGGTTGTAACCACACCTCCGTTACGTATGACCCTACTTGAGAACTCCCTGATCCGAGTATATCCGAAACTCTGAGCCCAAGGCCCTGAGGAAATAAATCCGGTGGTACCGTAGAAAACCCGATAAACACGTCTGTAACCCGTCTAGAACCCTTCAAAGCTTTTACATGTTCTGACATCCGTACGAATGCTCCTCAAGCCCCTGATCGCCCTTCTGGAACCTTGATAGGACCCCTCATGCAATCCTGATACAGCTTCAGTTACCCGAGCCGCTGGAAACTCAAGCAGCTCCTCCGCCTGAGCTACTTCTTCTGCCGAGCCTGCGCAGAGGCGGCTGCTCGCACCACACCCTTCTAGGACAAAGTGGGGTACACGGCTCAGAACCTTTTGAAAACCCATTGATGGCCTTCGACCTCTCTCAAGACAGAAGAGCCGAACTGGGCTTCGGGGGTCAGACTTTCGCGATCAGGATCCTGCGCTCAGGATCCTGGAAAATATTCTAAGGCTTCTCTCTGTCACAGGGACTCTCGAAAGAGTGGCTACCTGCTCTGACAGGAGCAGACAGTTCCTTATGCACGGATCACTTCCTGGAGTACGTATACCGGCATCCACAGCAACAGTAGGATCCCTGCATAAGGCATCAGTTCTGGAGACGGCTCCTTCGGCGTTCAAAGATCTTTCGCTAAGTCCTCAGGGCTTGGAAACCGCGCTACCCCAAACCTGAAACCCGAAAAGCAGGCAGAAGGCAGGAGGGAAGTCGAGAGATGCAAAGTCTAGGATCTAGATCCCAGGGCCAGGACCCTAAATCCTCGGGAATACACGCAAACAACAAGCAGTGATATATAAACCTAAATGAAGAACGAGCCAACAACTAAGCAAGCTAAATACAACTAACACAGCAGCAATAAACATAAGAATCACAATCATATATACAATCATACTCGCAACAACAATAATAACGATAACAATCAGCAATAATTACAAAAACGATAAGAAGTATAAAGCAAAACATAGAAACAGAAACAATCACAGCAATAATAGTAGCCAACTGCTAGTGGAAAAATAGAAGTTAGAATGACAACAGCAATAGTCACTACTAGACAAAATAACAGTGAGAATGGCAAGAACAATGATGATTATATCCGTAGAAATGACAATACCAGTAGTAAAGAGAATAATAGTAATAATATTAAAAATAATAATAATAATAATAAACCACAGGAATAACGATACCAACAATCACTTAATATATACTAACACCATCTTAAAACTAAAAAAGGGCCGGGCCTTCGCTGTCGTCGCTCTCGGAGTCGCTGTCCGAGTCCGAGTCGCTATCGGAGTCGTCGCCTCCTGGGCATCGGAGGTGTCTTCGGTCCGTTTTGGAGGGCTTCGGGTTTAGGGTTTAG